CGTGGCCATGACACTGACTGCTTTGTCTATTGATTTAGCCTCACTGCGAACAATAGCCTCTCTATACTTATCGAGCACATTTTCGAGGAAAATTTCAAACACTAGGCTATCGTCAAAACTGTACTCTACTTTATCTCTAATGGCCAGGAATCTTTCTTTAAAAACCATAGGACTTTCCCCAACTCTCTGCTTAAGACCTTCTATTAATTTAAGGCATTCCCTAATACCACGCGCTTTCTTAGGGTACAATATGTTCAGTTTACTAGCAATACTTTTGAAACTGCTATCGTTACGGATACCCATCTCCTCTAAGCTCAACCTAACTTCAGGGGATAAAGCCTCGAACATGAGCAATGCTTTGACCTCAGGATCCCATTTGCCTACTCGAGCTTTAAGCTCGACTTCCCGAATGAAAGAATCGAGATTAACCCCATTAAACACTGACAGGTTAAGCATAGAGTTCACAAACATGATGGAGTACAAAAAAATAGTAATAAACCACTCAATCAAAGAAAAAAAAACGCACGTAAAATTACAGGAATTTACACGTGCAAACACCAGTAATCCTGGCAGGGCTCGCCAATGACAAAAGTTACTATTTACGGGTTAACACACAAATACAATATACTAGGGCCTACAGTAAGAGTAACTTAAACACAGAAAAAAACGTGGACTCAAAAGTACAACACCAACAAAAAAAAGTAAATAATAAATCACAATTTGTTAAATAAAATAAAAAACAGTACTTAGCTTTATTGCTGCTTAGGTAGGGATCGGACCGGGGTTACACAGGTATGCGCCGAGATTGCCAGACAAGGATATAACACGCAGAGAACACTTTAAGTGTCTCCACACGAATCCACCACTCTGGCCTCGACTCATACCATAGCCCACTTTATATACAAACATGGCCACATTCGTCCAATGAGAATGCGGGAGAGATTTGTTCACAAACAAACGAAAACATAAATTCTTTCCACTAAAACCTGAGATAAGATATGATAAGATTGCAAATATTTGTCAATATAATTTGACATTCAAAGAAAACCGCTGGGAGGGTTCACCATTGATGAGCCTGGCCCTCCTTTTAATTTTTCCATTGCAGTAAGGGCAGTAGAAATTGTTTAATTTCAAAAAGAATTTTACGCGTTTAAAATAGTTTCGAATTTTGATAACAGATGACGCGCTAGTGAATCATATTACACATATAAATATTGTAGTATGGTATTGGTTATTTTATTAACAGAGTATCATTTTAATGTTTATATATTTCTACTCTCTCTGTAAACCTTCCTCATTTCTTATTTTATATTTTATCATTCATAGTTTGTACTTGCCGTAAATATGTTGCTGTGTCATCCTGAAGTTTGTCTTTCCTCATTTTCCACTTGGCAATATAAATCGTATTTATAATATTTTTAATTCAAATTATTTATCATTATCATATATTATATAGAAGATTATGTATTATATACAAGGCCAGGGGACCATCTTATCGAGGAGCCACTAGGAGAGGCCATAGAAAGACTGCTGGAGAGCTGCAGGACATCAGGGAACCATAACGGCAAGGGCCACAGCACTGACCAGGAGTCAAGATAGCAAATGTAATGATCCAATACAGTATTAGAGCTCTGAGAAGCGGTCTGGTGGATTAAATTGGCGAAACCGCTGGGAGGGTTCACCACTGATGAGCCAAGCCCTCCCAATATATTTTTCATCGCAGTAAGGACAGTAGAAGTTCGTTTTATGTATAAAAGAAACATTCGCGTTTTTAAATCCTTTTATTTTATATGTATAGATGGCGCGTTATTGCTTTGTGGTAAATATCTTTGTTTACTTTTACTGTTGTCATTTATTGAAGTTGTAAATAAAAATTTGTAAATAGACTGACCATTCGCTACACTTTTTAGAGAAAAACTTGTAACCTTTTTGAAAAATATATTATATTGTAAAAAAGAGATTTCTGTTGTATTTTGATCGTTATTTATATAGAATTATTATCTCTTGCTTGATTTTTTGGTATACATCAGTATTTTACGATATTGTTCTGCAGTCGTGGGAATAATAAAATTAGTTATCAAAAATATCTTTAATTGCGCAAAAGGAATACATAAAAAACATAGTTTGATAAAAGTAATGCCTGGATTAAGGCGTAAGAATCTAAAAATAAAAAACTTATTTACATAATGTACAAAAGATTTGAGCCGGCCAGCGGGAAACAACAACAATGAGTTTTTATAGGGTAAGCGTGACCTCTGGCCTTCGATTTAACAGTATTTGTATCTATGAAATATAATTTTAAATAAAATGATATTTTTATATAACATATACATATTCAATATTGCTTTTAAAATTTTCGATTAGGTTAAGTTAGAAAGCCACAAATTGACTGTTGAGAAAAGAAAGACTCTGACTCAACCATGAATAAAATAAGCGTCCACAGCTGACCTAGATCTACCCATGTCTGTCACAGTAAATTACATGTCTATTATCCATCGTTGCCCTGAAGCTATTATGCCTTCTCTCATTGGATAACCAATCGGCATACCACCAGAATGCCTGAACGAATCCTGTTACAGCCTTTTGAGATCCAACATAACTTTCTACTAATAGCATTTCCTCAACAGAAACCGTAATGTCACGGTAGGCAATGAGATAGGAACAAAGCGTATCTCCTATAGAACCAGTCAACAAGTGAATAACTTTGAGACGAAGAGTAAAGCCAGTTCAAATTCTATGTAAATAACACAAGATGATTATTACCTTACCCAATTGGGAAAATCTGCATGGGGTAAGTGCCTAATAAAGGCTTTGTGTGTGTGTGTGTGTATCTCCTGTTGAAGGATTCACACTACCCGAAAGCTTTAGAAGTATTTAATAAAAAAATAGGAAATTCATCCTCCGTTTTATTGTAACTAAGCGTATAATTAACCGAAATTTGCATAATAATAAGAAAGGCCCAATTTTCATTATCACCCACAGGACCTGTTTAGAATAAAATAATAAAGATTTAGATCTATTTTAAAAGGCATATATTGGGTCAAAATATAATTTAATTACCAATATTTCAGTTGGCTGAACGCCAACCTTTTTCAAGGTATTACACCATATTCTACATAATAAAAAAAGGTATATCCTGAACACGAGGCATATGCCTTTTTTTATTTTAATACTAACTCTTTACCTTTTTTATTATTTATTTTTTATTATTTTCTCACATTCAATATAATATGTTGTAATCCTTGTAAAAGGTTGGCATTCAGCTAGCTGAAATATTGGTAAATAAATTATATTTTGATCCAATATATGCTTTTAATTGAAGTTCTAATTATGGATTGCTCTATTTTCAAAAAGAATTATATATGGGTAGATACCATATTCGTTAAGTTTGTTTGGTATGTTCAATATAGTAACATATTGAATTTACCCTGGCACAATTTTTATGACAAAAGGGGCAGTTCAGCACTGTAGATCATCGAAAAGCTTGTCTGTAAAAACGTATCAAATAAGAAAAAAAAAGTTTTTTTTGTTTATCCCTAGTACACATGGTACAGGCCATGAAATTCATGGTGGGTAAAAGTAGGCACTTGCTTTTACTGTAAGTGCACCACATGTCTACACATGTGAAAATCAGTTCGACTTTGTACTTAAAGGTGTGCCAGAAACCGTTTGGTTACTTGCACTCACTGGTTGGGTTGGACTTTTGTAAGAATCGGGGGCCATTTGAGCATTTTTTTTTAATTAGAAAAAGTTGTCCAATGGAGATTTGATTTCGGGTCGTAGCGGTCGAAAACCAACGGTTTAGACCATTCTTCCACCGATCTCCCATAAAATAGTAAAAAAGTGAACTATTACTAGGATCATAAGCCGATTACATGCCATCTATATATGACAAAAAGAAACATTAAAACATGAATGTTTTTTCAAATATAAACCAAACTTCTACTGTCCTTGCTGCAATCAAAAAATATATGGGGAGGGCTTGGAAAATCAGTGGTGTAGACTTCAAGCGTTTTCGCCAATTTAATCTACCAGACCGCTTCTTAGAGCTCTAATATTGTCTTGGATTATCTACTTATAAAACAACATTTAAAGATTATCCTGCATGAGTTTCTTTTCAACGAAAAATCAAAATTTATTCCAAGGAGAAATATCGATTATTTCTAACCTTAGGGATGAGGTATGAAAGGATGAATTGTGAAGAGTCTCTTTAAAAGATTTTAAATTAAAAGAAAAATTTTAAAAATTAAAAATAATTAAAAGAAACGCATTGCCAGTAAATTTATTTGTGTAAAATTTTAACGATAGATGGCAATTAAATTTAATTTATTATATTGTATTACAGATTCTGCTTATATATGCTGCAATGATAAGATGGAATCTTAGAAATGGTTTTCAAGCAAACTATGGATCATATTTTAAGAAAGGCATCTCTTGATCGTACAATTAAAAGTTACTACTGAATTACGCCATCTGTCGGAATAAATATAAACTAAACGTTGATCTTTTATCTTGATTATATTGGGTCACAATTTGGTCAATTCTGGAATAATTAAAAAATCAACGTCTAGTTTATTCCGATAGAATGTGTAAGTCATTAGCAACCTTTAATTACACAATCAGAAGAGATGTCTTTCTGGTAATGAATCAAATCAGAGTTTGATGAATAGCTTAAATCTTCAAGTATATCAAATACAAACATGTTCAACTGGAGCCACGTACAGAAGTCACCAACTACCTGAGTTGTCCTTATAACCTAAGTCTTCTTGGTTTCAAACACAAAAAAATCTTCGTTAAAGACACCCGTCCCATACAGGATTCTCCCAATATATAGATAAAAATTACTTTATAATATCACTAGCCGAATGACCCGGGCAACGCCCGAGTTTTACCCGATTAAATACTTTTATTCAAATACTATTCGTTACAATTATAAATTGGCGCCGTGGATGTCATTCTTGTATAATATATAAATGAGTTTTAAAAATTGTAAAAAAAAATGCATCGGTCGGGAATCGAACCCGGGCCGCCCGCGTGGTAGGCGAGCATTCTACCACAGAACCACCAATGGTTATGAGAAATGGCCATATTTGGGTATTTTTTCCATTCACAAAGCAAATGGTGACAGAATTAAAAATTGTTGCTTGATTATGACGCTGATAACTGTATATATTGATTTTTATAATTTTTTCGTCAGGGTAACGGAATATACAATCGTTATTAGAGTCTTCGTATCTTGATTGGTGGTTCACGGACGTGTATTGTGACATTCATCTCACATTGATGATGATCAATTTGCGATGAACGAAGAGCTCGGAAGTTGCAATGCTTGCAGTGGAAATACTTGGTGACATGTTGTGAATGCTTGGAGCGCATATGTGCAATGAAAGAGCGATTGGTGTAAAATGTTCTCATACATTCTGGACAATCATTGATCATTTCCCATGGAGAACTGAGGTCTCCAATTCTTTCCGACTGCTCCAGCATTTAAGCTTCCTTGAAGCGTTACCAAGAATTTTTTCACATTGTTTCTAGCATCTATTATCTTTCTTTTTTTTATCCGTTTTAATCACCGTGGTTATATTTTTAGTGATGTATCATAGTTGTAGATGTTTCGTATTTCATATACAATCATTGACAAAACTTAAGGAAGTTGTACCTTTCAGAATGTATATCGGTATTCAGACAATAACACTGAAAGATATTCCAGTGATCTTTATTGAAGACACACTATATACATTCATGGATAAAACTTAAGGAAATTGTACCTTTTACCATCTATATTGAGATTCAGACAATAACTCTGAAAGATATTACAGTGACCTTTATAGAAGACACACTAAATACATTCATGGACAAAACTTAAGGAAGTTGTACCTTTTAGCATGTATATCGGGATTCAGACAATAACTCTGAAAGATATTACAGTGACCTTTATTGAAGACACATTATATACATTCATTGACAAAACTCAAGGAAATTGTACCTTTATTCATGTATATCGGGATTCAGACAATAACTCTGAAAGATATTGCAGTGACATTTATTGAAGACACACTATATACATTCATGGACAAAACTTAAGGAAGTTGTACATTTTATCGTGTATATCGGGATTCAGACAATAACTCTGAAAGATATTACAGTGATCTTTATTGAAGACACACTATATACATTCATGAACAAAACTTAAGGAAATTGTAACTTTTAGCATGTATATCGGGATTTAGACAATAACTCTGAAAGTATTACAGTGACCTTTATTGAAGACACACGAGATAATCAAGGGTGAACAAAACTTAAGGAAGTTGTACCTTTTAGCATGTATATCGGGATTCAGACAATAACTCTGAAAGATATTACAGTGACCTTTATTGAAGACACACGAGATAACCAAGTGTGAACAACCTTGACTCTGTCTTCTTTAAAGAAAACAGACTATCGGCAACATTAAAATATGAAACTAAGATTTGTCCATGAGTGTATATTCAATATTTGCAATTATACATGCTAGAAGGTACAATTTCCTTAAGTTTGTCCATGAATGTATATAGTGCGTCTTCAATAAAGGTCACTGTTATATCTTTCAGAGTTATTGTCTGAATCCCGATATACATGCTGAAAGGTACAATTTCCTTAAGTTTTGTCCATGAGTGTATATACTTCAATAAAGTATAAGAATCATACTTTAATTCATTTGAATTTTTAAACTTCTGACAAATATTATAGCAATTGGTGTATATCACTCTGAAATAAAGTATATTAAATAATTTAAAATGTTTCTGGAGATGAGTTTCTTTTTATTAAAGCAGTTTCAAGCTTTCAGGAATCTCTACCCTTCTACAGGAGAACATCAGGCGGAGTTTTATTCGTTTATTTATGTTCTCCTGTCGAAGGGCAGAGATTCCCGAAAGCTTCAGACTACATTGATAAAAATGAAGAGAAACACATCTCTAGAAACATTTTTCCGTTCATCATTGCTCTTCACAATTCACCCTTTCATACCTCATCCATAAGGTTAGAAATCGTTATCGTTAATTACGTTAATTGTCGTAATAGTTATTTCTCCTTAAAATAAATTTGGATTTTTCGTTGAAAAGAAACGCATGCGGGATAATTTTCTGATGTCGTTTTACAATGAAATCCGCATTATATTATATTGTATTTACTTTATCATAAAGATAGAGGCTGCCTGGCCGGCATTCATAGTTCTTCAAATTAAAGATACTTCAGCCAGTAATTCTTTTTATTATCTCGACGTTTCGACAAAAATCTTCTGTCCTCCTCAGTAGCGAACAAAAATTAAAACATTTGACAAAGTCTTAAAAACTATTCTTAAGGCTGCATGGACGTTCTCATGCGATATTTCAAATTTTGTACAACATCTTTAAGTACGAGTCAAAAAACAAATATTTAACACATAAAAGACTATGATGCTTAGAATAATTTTTAACGCTTTGCCAAATGTTTTTAATTTTTGTTCGCTCCTGACGAGGACAAAAGAAATTTTTCGAAATGTAGAGATAATAAAAAAGATTTACTGGTCGAAGTATCTTTCATTTGTTCGGTTCCAAAATCACTTTATTAGGTACTGCTCAACAAGAGCAACCTAGTTTATGATAATTGCAACAATGAATAATATATGAAGTTTATTCACATATTAAACAAAATATTAACGCGGGATTCAATCCTGGTTCATGACTGTCGGGAATCGAGGGTGTTGCCCACTCGTCCACCGACTTTTATTTCTTTAATTTGAAGAACAATATATATCCAGGAGATTTAAATTAATTGAAATAAAGTATATGTAAAAATAAGGAATATCCTATATTTAGATATTCTAATGCTTATATTCATAATGTTATTGTTGGTATTGAAGAGTTCTATCTCTTTATATAAAACAAAAGGTTATAAAACTTACCTTTAGATAGTTAGTAAGCCATCGTAGGTTCGGATACCTGCGCAAATAAATATTTTATGATATTTGCATACTTTACATATATATATATTGAAATATTTTATTTTAAAATGTTATATAAATATATTGTTCTATTTTAAATTATAATTTCATAGATTCAAATACTCTTCTAAATCGACCGCCAGAGGTCACTCTTCCCCTATAAAAACTCGTTGTTGTTTTATCCCAATGGCCGGCTCAAAACTTTTGTACATTATGTAAATAAGCTTTTCCTTTTTTATTCTTACGCCTTAAGCCAGGCAGTACTTTTACCAAATTATGTCTTTGATACATTCCTTAGCTCAATTAAAGAAACCTCTTATTAAGACTATGCCACGACTGCATCACCAATACCATTTAGTACTAAAAAGAACCAGCAAATAAATCCATAGCATAATCCTCAAGATGATCAAAAATACAGCAGAATATCTCTTTTTTATAATATATGAATTAATCAAAATTAAAGATTACACAGTATGCTAATTATAATGCAATAGCGTTGCATCTATATACAGCTAAACCTGTCTATAGCGCCCCCTTGGGACTCACTAAAATAGGGTGCTATAGACAGGTCACTTTTAATGTAAATCACATCGTACTACATATTTAAAATCGGGCGCTATAGAGAGGGAGGCGCTATTTAGAGGGGGCGCTATTGACAGGTTTAACTGTATAAGAAATACAACAATAAAACCGACCAATGTGTCTTTTACAAATAAAAGAAAAATCTCTATTGTCCTTACTGCGAAGAAAAATATAGAGAGGGCTTGGTTCATCAGTGGTGAACTCTTCCATCTTGGCTAATTTGTATAATCTGGACTCCAAACCTCGACAGGGATTCTTTCCAGACCTTCTTCTATATCTTTTACAAATATTTCAGCCAAATATAGGGCAACCTTTATACGGAACAAACAGGCAAATCTAAATGTTTAATTTAATTGTAATAATTATTCAGAATTTTTTTTTTTGCTTATCCCTAGTACATGTGGTACAGGCTATGATAATCATGGTGGGTAGAAGAAGGCAACTGCTTTCATTGTAAGTGCACCACATGTCTACACATGTGAAAAGCAGTTCGACTTTGCACTTACAAATGTGCCAGTGCCCCATTTGGTTACTTGTACTAGCTGGTGGAGTTAGACTTTAGCAAGAATCGGAGGCCATTGGAGTATTTTTTTTTTTAATTATAAGAAAGTTCCCAATACGGAAATCGTACCCAGGGTCGTAGCGGTTGAAAACCAACGGTTTATATCATCTTTCCACCGACCCCCTAAATTCTTTAATACATTTTGGAATTTGTAGTTAATCACAGGGAGAAAATATGTTCCTCAGGGTTACACAATTAATTCTCTATTTAATTAATTCAGATTCCTGGAGCCACGTACAGAAGCCACCAACTACCTGAGTTGTCCTTATGACCTAAGTCTTCTTGGTTTCAACAACAACAAAAAACTTAGATCCCTGGAAACTTTTATTTTTCGTTCATCATTACCCTTCACAATTCATCCTTTCATATTTCATCCCCAAGGATAGAAATAATCGTTATTTCTTCTCAAAATAAATTTAGATTTTTCGTTCGAAAGAAACACAATCGGGATCATTTTCAAATGCCGTTCTACAAAAACCCTTTATTAAGGACACACGTCCCATACAGGATTCTCCCAGATATAGGTAAACAGAAGTAAAAATAGCAGTTATCTATAGAAAGTGAAGATTAACATCGACCTTTCTTTAATTTGTATACATCATCTGTATTGCGACAATTGTCTGTGCTGTTTTCCAGAATTTGTGAAAAGCCATTGGGTTTGATTTTTACTAATTTTTCCCTTATAACATACTAGCCGAATGACCCGGGCAACGCCCGGGTTTTACCCGATTAAATGCTTTTATTCAAATACTATTCGTTACAATTATAAATTGGCGCCGTGGATGTCATTCTTGTATAATATATAAATGAAATTTTACACAAATAAATTTACTGGCAATGAATGCAAATACTGGCAATACGATGCAATACCTTGAAATTTATATGTATGTACCTCTACAGACCTATAAGCTTATGTCCATAGTTCACTAAACACCATTTAGCTGCCTTCCATAGAAAATGCAGGGTA